TTTTTTAAAAAATTGCAAATTTTCCAAAATTTTTTTTCGCGGAAAACCGCTCATTGTCGTGTTTCTAAGATCGAAATATACTTCCAGTTAAAATATCTGTACTTATTTCTGTACAGGACACCCTGTACTGAAGTAAAATTCTGGAGTAAGTAATGAGATATTTTTGTATTTGTCAACATGAAGAAAGGGAAATAAACATAACTACGTAAGAGAAAAAAAGAATTGATAGGTATGTTTTTTTCTGTTATCAGTAACTTACATCGCATTCTATTTTCTTTCCTTTATAATAACACCAAGGTATTGTAGTGGTTTCTCCGTAAAGAAATATATCAAAATACACGTCAAAACATATTTACATCAAACTCCAGTATGGCGTGAAAATACCAAAAGAAAAATAACAGAAAATTCTTTATTTGACAGTCACACAGATAGAGAATTAAAATAAGAATTCTGTAATATTGAAAAAAAAAATGTTATTTACAGTGATGGTCAAATCATTCAGGTACTAAAGCTTCGTCTAGACGTAAGGTTTTGAGAGACGTAAGGTTTTAGAGAGACAGAAGCCCTATAACATAGGATACAACATTTTAATGAACAGTGCTTTCCATAAAATCAATAAAATGAAAAATGTACGAAATATTATACATGTACCGATTTCTTTCGAAAATCGACAACTATGAAACTATGTTCCCTTCCCGAACACAAACGGTACATTGTGAAACAGGAAATTGTAGAGAGACACAAGCCCTATAACATAGGATACAACATTTTAATGAACAGTGCTTTCCATAAAATCAATAAAATGAAGAATATACGGAATAATATACATGTTCTGATTTCTTTAGAAAATCGACATCTATGAAACTATGAACCCTTCCTGGTCACAAACGATACATTGTGAGACAGGAAATTGTAGAGAGAAACAAGCCCTATAACATAGGATACAACATTTTAATGAACAGTGCTTTCCATAAAATCAATAAAATGAAAAATATACGAAATATTATACATGTACTGATTTCTTTCGAAAATCGACAACTATGAAACTATGATCCCTTCCCGACCACAAACGGTACATTGTGAAACAGGAAATCGGTCTTTTTGTCAGATCGGTCTTTTTGACATGATCAATCTCTATAAAATAATTTATGTACTTATCTTTTTTATATCGCGTTAAAAAAACTCCTATCCCGGCACGTGTTCACTATGCAGTCTGATCCAAGCTTAATTATTTTTTACCAACACCACATCAAATATTGACTTCGGATTTCCTATAATCAATCTGAAACAACTTATCAAGTGTTAGTTTTCATTAAAAGCCACAGAGCGCGCTTATAGTAGGGGAGCATAAGAGAGGATTTTGGGATTTAATCAAGCGCGGCAGAATATTATAATACAAGGGGAGAAACCTTACACCTTGTAACCCTTCGAAGGTGGGTAAAAAAGCGACTATTTTTACTTTATACTCTAAAAAAAAGGTTAGTAGACACCTTTCAGTTTTCCATTTTTTCGTTATTATTAGATAGAAAAATTCATATCTGGGTATTTACTATTTGGAAAAAACATCTCGTCCCATATGTTTGTAGAAAATTGAATTATCTACAAAAACGGTTTCTTACAATTTTTTTGTAAATTTCACCGTTCGAAAGTTATTAAATGTTGAAGTTTGATTATTTTAAGTCCAGTTTTTTTTCAGAATTTTATAACTTATTTAATTATTATAAGAATAATAAATTTCAAATAAATTTTTGAACAGAGAACTTTCCTAGCAGTTACTTTCACGACAGAAACTTAAATTTGTAAAAATTTCCCGGAAACTCATAAATTAAATAGACATTTTTCGAGTTATTATTAATCAAAAACTGTTAAAAATATTGCGCATTGAAGTTTAACGATGAATATCTTTTAAACGGTTAATTTAATCGACTAATCGTAAGAAACCATTTTTGTAGAGCAGTAAATTTTCTACAAATCTTTATTTTTTGTTAACCAGTTATAAAATTCATAAGAAAAAAGAACACTGACTTAAAATAATCAAACTTCAACCTTTAATAACTTTCGAACGGCGAGGTTTACAAAAAAATTGTAAGAAACCTTTTTTGTAGAGAATTGAATTTCCTATAAATATGTAAAACAAGATATTTTTTCAAAATAGTAGATACAGAAATATGAATTTTTCTTTTTTTGAAAAAAATAGAAAACAGAAAGGTGGAGGACCTTCCTATTAAAATAAAGAGCTCATACTTGGAGAGAATTTTGGTGTCTACCAACTTTTTTTCCAGAGTATAAAATGAAAAAAAAATAATTTAATCTACGACAATGCCATTGTCATTTGGATGTCATTATGGCTTTCATAATAGCACTAGTGCTATTATGAATTCATATACACGCAAATTTTAAAATAAGAAACAAGCAAAAAATGGTACCTAAATACGTTTATTTATTGTAAACATTAATTATAATATCAGTACAGTTGGTTAAATTAGTTCCAGACGATTACAGGTGAGTTGAATTTTTAGAAAGTAAATTTATTTCCTGAGTGCTTGAACTTGTTGAAGACCCATCATTGTCAGAAATCTTACCCAAAATATTACATGACACTTTTTTCTTATTTTCTTTGGAATTTTCTATATAGCTCTCTGCCACTGTGTTAGAGCGCCAACCACCATGACTTTTAACAGTTAATAAATCCACTCCTGAATCTGCAAGCAACGACGCAGACGATCTAGGGAAACAATGTCCAGTGTATTGTTGTGGATTTGGAAGACTTAGGAACAATGCTATTTTATACGGCATTTTCCCTGAAGTATTAATGCCAACGGGTTGCTTAATACATTTTCCATTTCTGTACCCCACAAAAAATCGAGTATGCTCTGTGTGGCTTGGCCGCATAGCTATACAGGGTTGTTCACCACATACGACACGGAGTATTGTAGCTAAACGATGAGATTTTTACAAATTGTAAATTTGGGGTTCGTTGAAGGACTATTAGAGCTACAATTTAAAAATATTTTTACAAGATACTAAGTTGTATTTTTTTAAATGGAACACCCTGTATATTATTACATTTTTAGTTTCTACGATTAAAATAAAGGTAAATTTGATTAAGGTTTATTATACTTAAACCTTACCGTTTTTGAAATATTTTCAATTTTGTGAAATTGCAGTAAAAATTTTAAAGCTTCATTTCTCCAAGGGTATCAATGTTTTTAATACTAAATATTTAACGAAGTTTATTTATTGATCAGTTATTGTGTTGCAATAATAAAAATAATACTACCTTATACAGAGTGTCTAAAAATTTATTTGAAATAATTATTAGCTTCAAACGGCAATAACTTCTTTAATTTAAATGGAATGCCCTGTATATTTTAGGAGAATCAGATGCACAATTAAATTGTCTATCAAATTGTATTATACCATTTTTTACCTATCCCTTCAAGTTTTCGTAGAAAATGCATTTTCTTATAATTTAGACCTCATTTATCAATATATCCATGGAATATTGACATTTTAGATTGTTTTTAAAGCAACAAATGTATAAAATGTACAGACTAGTAATATTATCGTTTTTAGCAAAACGATAATATTACTTGCCCATTTGTATGCAAAAAGAAAACTATTTAAATCTTTATAAAAGAGTATACCATTAGTTAAATATAACACCATTATTTCCGCCCATATACTAATTAATTACATACTTAATTGTGTTCGTTAATAAATTATTATAAACAAATGTGGATTTGAGTCAGAAATCAATATAATAATAAGTTATCAAATTAAAGTCTCTGTTGTTATAAATAAGCATTTATTAAAAAATGAAATATCATTTTTAAGGTGTTACTTTTTATCACATTGTCTAATGCCCATACAAAATTCAGTTTTTTAGTATTTGGAGCAATTATTATTAATCACCGCAAACAGTCATTTAATGTAGTTTGAATACTGGAATCATATTTGATCCTCTTTAACAAATATTTAAACAGTTTTTTTTTTATTTTTTAATGAAATAAACGAATTATATCGACAATATTAGTATCTGTACTCTTTAAAAATTTGGTACATCTTTAAAAATAATCTAAAAAGACAATAGTCCAAAAATTATTGCAACACAATAACTGATCAGTAAATTAACTTCAGTAAATATTTAGTATTAAAAACTTTGATACCCTTGGAGAAATGAAGCCTTAAAATTTTTACTGCAATTTCACAAAATTGAAAATATTTCAAAAACGGTAAGGTTTAAGTATAATAAACCTTAATCAAATTTACCTTTATTTTAATCGTAGAAACTAAAAATGTAATAATATACAGGGTGTTCCATTTAAAAAAATACAACTTAGTATCTTGTAAAATTATTTTTAAATTGTACCTCTAATAGTCCTTCATCGAACCCAAAACTTACAATTTGTAAAAATCTCATCGTTTAGCTACAATACTCCGTGTCGTATGTGGTGAACAACCCTGTATAATTAATTACATGCAGAGAAGTGTGGGTCCAACTGAAACAGCTTATCAAGCGTTTTCAGTTTCCATTAATCACCACAAAAAGCCTAATAATAAAGTTATAGTTTTGTTTTGGTTTAGTTTCCTATGAAAAAGCTTCTCAGAAAACAGCAAATTCCTGAATTTATGTCATTTTTTTCTTTAATTTTCTACGAGATTTAGTAAATAGCATTATTTTACGCATTTTGAACGGGTTTATTAAGCGACCTTCAATAAAAAAGACATAAACTCTAATGAGCTCAGAGAAATAAGATTTATAGATTGACTATAACAGGTTAACCAATATAAATTGATTTGTTTTGATCGAGTCTATGCAAACAAAATGGAAACAAACTGTTTGTTTATTTACAGGCTTACTACTACAATCCATTTTTAGAGATTTGTCATTGGCGTAGTTTCTGGGTGTTTATATCAACAGAAAATGAGTTAAATGTTTATTATTTTATTTTTCGTTGTTATATCGGTTTTAATGTTTATTATTTTTTCAATTCCAGATCAAACAAAATGAACGCCACATCGCCAAAGCTGTCACTGGCCAAATTGGGACTCTATCCCAAACCAAAAACCTTGAAAGTCATGATATTGGGTCAAGCAGGCGTAGGGAAATCAGGTAAACAACACACTAATAACTTTTTAATCGTTCTTTTAATTAAAATTATAGTTATTTTTTATACAAGACGATAATGGAATTTTATTGTCATGTATAAAACAATTTTTTTTTCATAGCGAGTTACGTTTAAAAAAATTATCAGAAATTATTATTTCAAGGAATTTATTACGAGTAGAAAAAATAATTTGCTAATTGACAAATAAATAAAGCTATCTCTTTAGTTGCCAGTTTTGAGTTATGGTACAAAGAATACAAGGTATGATCGATAGCGGCTCCAATTTCGTTCAGTTCGCGCATACCACCTGTGACGTCACTAGGAAAATAATGAATAAATAAAAAATAAAGAAAGTTGACAGGAGATCTGCATTTTTTGGGGTTATGGTTAAGAATTGTTTATTTTTAAGACTTTTTAGTTCGTTTAATTTAATAATTACTAAAACCAGCAGTTCCAAAAATATATTTAAAAATAATTATCTATTAACATGGATTTGGACGATAATAATAGGTAAGAATACTAAATTTATTTCTATATTCGGTATAAAATTGTTTATTAGGTTTTTAGTTTGCGATGTTTATGGTAAATAATTTTCATGTTCATTGCCTCTGAATTCACATGAGGACAGAGATGAGGATATCTATGGAAAAGTAACCACAAGAGGAATTGTTACATCATTTAAAAAATGTTGGGAAGTTGAAGTTTCCCATCGAAAAGTAGAAAATGCCAATGCAGATGAATGTATTGTAATTGTGATAGAAGTAATTCCAAGGGTGAAGTCTATTATAATTAGTGACCTGTGCTTCTTTTTATATGTAGATGTTTCAGGTTTTGAGAATAAATCGGTTGAACGAAACCCAAAATTTAGAGGAAGTATTTGCATACCCAGAATATGACCATCAAGGATTATATAGCTCAAATTTCCTTTAATGGTAGGCAATTATTCAATGCAAATTAACTTTTTAAGTGACTGAAATATTAAATAGTTTACAATATGGTATATCACTAAAAATTATATTACTTTTAGGTACAATTAGGGCCTGATACATTTCTAAAAAAAGTAGAATATTATTTTATATTAAATGAGGTATTGTACCAACAATCAATTTGTATTAATACCGGAGATTAAAAATAACAGAATAAATAGTTCTTTTTTTTATACTACAAAAATAAACTATAGAATACAACAGTATTTATAAAATAAATAAAAAGTTATGTCCCGGCCGAGATTCGAACCCGGTATCTCGCTTCCTAGCCCGACTCCTTACGCACTGCTCCACAGTAACTTGCTTAGCGATAATTCAATGACGGTATATAAACAAAAAAACAGGTTTATAACAATATCTTGACGATTTGAACTGGCGCGCGGAGCGTGCTGACCAATAGCGCCTGTTATCACCTGTGACGTAGCGACCAACCTGCGCAATATCATACCTTGTATTCTTTGTACCATGAACCTGGGCAATATCATACCTTGTATTCTTTGTACCATGTTTTTAACCTATCCTCGCTGTTAAAGTACCATTTAATCTACCCTGGCGCTTAAAGTACTATTTTATCTACTATTTTTGATAGATATAAGGCAATTTTAACAGTTGCTATGCCTTAAAATTGTTTTTTTTTAACAATTACTTCTTTTTGAAGTACTGACTTAGAGCCATTTACAAAATTGTTACTACTACGCCTACATTAACACTGCTTTTATTTAGTCGCACTGTATATGTTATTTTCTCATGTTTCAGCTATGGTTGTACGATTTATAACGAAACGATATATCGGAGAATACGATCCTACTTTAGAGAAGATTTATTCTTTTCACACTGTCATAGACAATGAGATGGTTTATTTTGAAATTTTGGATACGGCTGGACAACCTCCGGTATGTTTTGATTATTTTTCCACCCTGTATTTTAATATGCTAAATATCTAATAGGAAATGCTATAATTTAGACACATTTATGTACATTGCCTAAATATTTGGCTTAAAAAATGAACTATTATCAATTATCTTCCTTCTACCACGAAAAAACTAATTTTATCTGAAGGATTTTCTCATGTTTGTTTACTAACTTCGTTTTTCTTACAGTAGGCCCATGAGACGTTCTTTATTTTCATTGAGACAATTCAAAAACGTGAGCCAATAAAGTGAATTTGACAGAAAGAGTTCTATTTTTATCCCACACACAAAACTAATCTTATATTTAATCATTTTCTCCCTTGATATTTGAGAAACTTTTTTCTCGACGATTTTCATCATAGATATGGTGTATACAGTTTATATATCTAGGCAAGTTTTCGGACTTACTGCACCAGTTTGCCTAATAAATCGTTGTAACTTTTGACGATTTCAATGACTCTTTGTAGAAAACTATATTCGTCACTCAAAAAATACTTTTTAGCTTTGTTCTTTGTTTATTGTGTAGATTTCAATTGTAATTACTAATACTAATATAGAATGGTAATTTACCTTCTCAAAAGTCTTTAATTATGCAAATAAATAATAATATAGAATATTAAATTGTGATAAAAAATAATTAGGCAAAAACCTAATATTTCTCTCATTATTAGAAACAGATACCTATAACTTTACATCGTTGGAAAGGGTTAAACGCCAGCATTTTTTTTAAGTTCATCGCCAACTATGATTTCCATTTAGAAAATTATATTTTTTATTATTTCTGACACAAAGAGCATGTATAGAAAAAAAACTGACTACGCCACTGGATTGTGCTTAAAAAAGTGCCTTAAGAACGTTTTTACAGAATTTTATTATTCCGGGAAACACAAAAGTTATGAGCAATTTTCCAAATGGTAAAAAATTCAAAAAGACCCCGTATCTCAGTTGGAAGTGAAAATATCAACAGACGGTTTACGCCGTTAAACGTGTCTCAGAAATCGAGCCCATGACATCTATGTCGGTTGTGCTTTATCTAGTCAGGAAATAGGTTTTCTCTGTTAAAACAGACCGATTTCGACCACCCTGTACATTTTTGCTAGTAACTTAAAAAAACCGGCTTATATTCTTAGGAGCTTTGCCAATTCTCCTTTTATATAAAAGACGTAGACAGTAAGACACTGTCTCAAGGGGATTTTTCCCTTTTAACTTTCAGCATAAACATCTTTTGATGCAAAAGAATAAACACAAATAAAGATCTACTTAAATTATAAATATTATTTTCAACTGTATAGTTTGTCTACTTGTTATTGAAAACTTTATGTCTTCAATTGCAGATTTTTATATTACAGTACGTCTGTCCGTTCTGTAGCTACGGGGTATCCGTGAGAGGGGAAACGATATTTCTCTCGATGTTTTTCCTAAAAAATAGACGACGTATCCCGTCAATAAAAATTCGACAAATTTGCAAGTAGCCAATAAAATGAGTGGGCGGAGCGATTTGCGGTGACCTACTCGTCAAGTCGACGTATAAAATATATTGCTGTTTATTTAAATGTTTTTTTGTCCGCATTCCTTTCATAGACACAAATCCAGCAGACGTACTTTACCATTATGAATACGACTCCCAGAAGTTTTTATGACTAGTTATTAAAGTAAAATAGACGCATACAGTAGTAGTATACAGGGTGTCCCAGGCTGAGCGTACATTAGAAGTTTCTAGAGAACCACAATATCTAGGTCATGGCCACGTCGATTATTTTACATCACTTGACGTTTAAAGTCATAGGCTGCTGGTTAAAATCAAGAAAAATGTACGCTTTAACACTAAATCTTAAATAGCTTAAAAACGATTTATTTTGGGTATAGGAACATCTTTAATGAAAAAGTAACGGATTGGAAAACCTTTTCGGTAGTGAAGTAAAAAGAGTGGGTTTCCATTTGAAAAAAAAAATATTTGTAAATGAAAAATACACGAAATAATATACATGTACTGATTTCTTTCGAAAATCGACAAGTATGAAACTATGAACCCTTCCTTGACACAAACGGTACATTGTGAGACAGGAAATTGTAGAGAGAAACAAGCCCTATAACATAGGATACAACATTTTAATGAACAGTGCTTTCTATAAAATCAGTAAAATGAAAAATATTCGAAATAATATACATGTACTGATTTCTTTCGAAAATCGACAACTATGAAACTATGAACCCTTCCTGGACACAAACGGTACATTGTGAGACAGGAAATTGTAGAGAGAAACAATCCCTATAACATAGGATACAACATTTTAATGAACAGTGCTTTCCATAAAATCAGTAAAATGAAAAATATACGAAATAATATACATGTACTGATTTCATTCGAAAATCGACAACTATGAAACTATGAACCCTTCCTGGACACAAGCGGTACATTGTGAGACAGGAAATTGTAGAGAGAAACAAGCCCTATAACATAGGATACAACATTTTAATGAACAGTGCTTTCCATAAAATCAATAAAATGAAAAATACACGAAATAATATACATGTACTGATTTCTTTCAAAAATCGACATCTATGAAATTATGAGACTTCCTGGTCACAAACGGTACATTGTGAGACAGGAAATTGTAGAGAGAAACAAGCCCTATAACATAGGATACAACATTTTAATGAACAGTGCTTTCCATAAAATCAATAAAATGAAAAATACACGAAATAATATACATGTACTGATTTCTTTCAAAAATCGACATCTATGAAACTATGAGACTTCCTGGTCACAAACGGTACATTGTGAGACAGGGAAATTGTAGAGAGAAACAAGCCCTATAACATAGGATACAACATTTTAATGAACAGTGCTTTCCATAAAATCAATAAAATGAAAAATACACGAAATAATATACATGTACTGATTTCTTTCAAAAATCGACATCTATGAAACTATGAGACTTCCTGGTCACAAACGGTACATTGTGAGACAGGAAATTGTAGAGAGAAACACGCCCTATAACATAGGATACAACATTTTAATGAACAGTGCTTTCCATAAAATCAATAAAATGAAAAATACATGAAATAATATACATGTACTGATTTCTTTCAAAAATCGACATCTATGAAACTATGAGACTTCCTGGTCACAAACGGTACATTGTGAGACAGGAAATTGTAGAGAGAAACAAGCCCTATAGCATAGGATACAACATTTTAATGAACAGTGCTTTCCATAAAATCAATAAAATGAAAAATACACGAAATAATATACATGTACAGATTTCTTTCAAAAATCGACAACTATGAAACTATGATAATTTTTTATCGCTCAGTTGACAGCTGTTACTATTATTATATGACATTTGATCAATTTAATTTTTGAAATAGACAGCCACATGTCTTCTACTCTTTATGTCACAGTGGCTGTGGTAATCACTAAATTCCACGTTTAGGCTATACACATTTTTTTGACAGAGGAAGTTTTTTTCGCCCAAAAATTTTAAATATTTTTTTTCTCGAAAACGGTTAATGTTACATATAGAGTATTTAATATCAAAATTCATAAAATTTTACAGAGAATTGAACTATGCAATAAAAAATGGGGACACCCATTTAAAATAAGAAAGTTGCTGTCAACTTTCGGTATTTCCGGAAGTGCCGCCATGTTGAAAATATTTTTAATCGATAGATCTTGTTGTGAAACAACGACGTGCAAAAAATCTCCGATCTAGATATTTTAGTTCTCTAGAAACTGCTAATGAATGCTCAGCCTGGAAAACCCTGTATACAATTGAATTTCTTGTTTTTAGGAATACGAATGCTGTGGTTTGGAAGCTAACATTCGCTGGGCAGAAGCATTTATTCTAATGTACTCCGTAACAGATAAATGCTCGTTTGATGAGTGCTACAGGCTGAAATTCTTGATAAACTACAATAAAAGGAAGAAAAGGATAACTACCAGTACCAAAGATCCATTAAGTGATGTCCCAGTGGTTCTAGTCGGTAATAAGACAGATCAGGTACTTATTTGAGTTTATTTGTGGCATTTTTCTGAAATAAAGATGTTCAGGGTGTCCCATTTTCGTGTGTTTATGGTTGTTTCTCGTTTATGAGTATCCAGGGTGCTACAAATTATATTATTATATTATATTGGGACTTGAAATTAGTTTAAATAAATTGTGTTCAAATGTCCGAGACTAAAAAAGTATAGTGTGGCATATCATTGTACTCAGAAGACCAAGATCTTTCAAAACCAGAAATAAAAAATGCAGGTCCGTATTTAAAAAGATTAAGTTGACCTCTGTATCTCACAAAATATCAGCTAATTTGAAGATCTAAAAATACTGCCAGATAGCCCTAATAAAGTGGCTATGAGGATGTCCAATTAGTTTTTTGATTTTCTAAAAAGTGACGACAGGAAAAAATAAAATTGATTTTCAAAAAAATACTTTTTATCCAAAAAACTCAGCAATCCTTGGGATTTTTAAAACTTTTTTGATGGCATTGTGTGAACATCCCAAAGCGCAACTTTGTCCCAATTTAACTATGCTCGTACCTATTACGGTTACCGAGATACCTATGCTCGTACCTCGAATTTGTATTCACAGATATGATTTTCACATTACTGTGCTACTTTTTTACGAAGTTAAAGATACTACACACAAATATTTATCAAATTTTACAGCCCGGGACACCCTGTATATCGAATTTGGATGTTTATTTTTGAATTTTATATTGTATGCATCAGAATAGTGGTAAATGTTAACAGAAATTATGTTTTTTTCTCAAAAAAAAAGATCAAAAATGGCTCTCAGACCGAATTGATACTAACTGGAGTCATTACAAGAAAAAAAAATAGAGAGGTACGAGCCGCCATTAAGGTAGGAAAAACAGATATTTGGGAAAGAAGGTGCCAGCAAGTGGAAAGCCTAATAGGGGGCGCACGGAGTACTGAGGTATGGAGAACAATCCGACAAATGAAAACCAATCAAACGGACAAGCTCTTGAATAGAATGGATATAGAAAAATGGCGCAACTACTATGCAGAATTACTGACAGAAAACCGACCAGAATTCCGAGCAGTAGAAGATGAGAACAACCTTGCAGGCACTTTAATGATAAGCAAAAGAGAAGTACATCAAAGTTTCAAAAGAATGAAAAATGGACGGTCACCAGGTCCTGGTAATATTGTAGCCGAATTGTTAAAGTGTGGAACCCAAAGACTACGCTGGCGTCTGGCAGAGCTATTTAACCAATGCTGCCTGCAAAGTAAACTACCCCGAGAATGGCGAGTGGCTCACATAGTGTCCATCTTTAAAAAGGGAAATCGTAACGACCCCACTTGTTATAGAGGCCTAAGCATTAACAGTTCGGTCAACAGACTTTTTGGAAAGGTGTTACAGGGTAGGCTCAGGGACAGTATTGGTGACAAAATCTCGGAAGACCAAAGCGGATTCACACCGGGGAAATCTTGCACAAATAACCTTTTTGTCCTGCAGCAGGTGATGGAAAAAAAGATAGCAGTAGATCAAGAAGTCCATCTAGCATTTATTGATTTTGAGCAAGCGTACGACTCTATTCCCCGCAGCAAGATATGGGAAGTCTTGAATATCTTAGAAGTAGATAGACCTTTGCTTAAGATAATAAAAGAGCTATATAAAGAAAATGAATCGTACGTTAAGTTATGACACAGGCTATCTAATCCAATTAACACCACAAAAGGGTTGCGACAAGGATGCAGCTTATCTCCTCTGATCTTCAACGCTTACGTCGAAGTAGCCCTAAGGGAATGGAAGACAAAATGTCAAGGTATGGGAATACCTATTGGGGACAACACACTATTTACCCTGAGCTTTGCAGACGATCAGGTCGTGATTGCGCAGGACTCATACGATCTAGAGTTCATGACTAAGAGGCTTTATCAAGAATACAACAAATGGGGACTTCAGGTTAGTCTAAAGAAGACCGAATACTTAGCTGTCAATTCCAACGCTTGTTTTGAAGTCTTCATTAATGATAACGTCCAGATCCAACAAGTAGACAAATTTAAATACCTGGGTGCTACTATCAACAATGAGGGTTTGGGCAAAGAAGAAATACAAACCCGAATTCAGAAGAGCAAACAAGTTATTGGATGTCTTAACAGCCTCTGGTGGGACCGAAACTTATCTGCAACAACTAAAAAGAGACTTGGAAGAACATTGGTGGAGTCAGTTCTTTGCTATGGTTCAGAGCTGTGGACTCTGAGTGCAGACGCGAAGCGCAAAATCCAAGTTGTTGAAATGGACTACCTTAGAAGAAGTGCAGGTATATCTAGGATGGAAAAAAAGACAAACATCGAGGTCAGGCGTATCATGAATGCATCGGAGGAGACAGTACTGGATCGAATCGAAAAATCCAGCTTAAAATGGTTTGGACATGTTCTGCGTATGCCGGAGAACAGGTGGCCAAAAATAGTTTTTCAATGGGCTCCCCAGGGCAGAAGAAAGAGAGGTAGACCTAGAAAATCTTGGAACGGAACGGTTACGGAAGCAATGGAAGCTCGTAACCTAGAAGCTGATGACGCTCTAAATCGAGATGTGTGGCGTAGGGTAACGGGAAGGCAGCAATAGGCTGTAGTTGGAAATGAGTATTAAATACTTAAACCAAATCCCGTTTATATATATATGTTTTTTTCTTGCATATCATAGAAAAAACGTTCTTATAGGTCAAAAATGACATTTTTGACTGATAAATTGACTAAATTTTTCAAATTCTGTTACGGAAAACTTGACCAGCCTGTATAAATAGTCCGTTTTCAGGTCGAAGATCGAATGGTAACCTTAGAAGATGGTCAGAAGCGGAGCAAAGAAATTGGATGCGTGTGTTTTCACGAGATATCTGTAAGAGAAAGCATAGAACAGGTGAGTGACGCAACAACAAAAACAATGCAATTAGGCTCAAATTCAGCGCGAACCGGAAGCATCTACTTAATTAGTTTTTGACATCGAATTTCGTTATGAAAATCTTCAGTACTAGAGTTGGGCCCTTCGTTTTGTTAGAGCTGGGCTGGTTTTGTGACGATATATTAGACAACTAGCGTGTACCCGCGACTTCGTTCGCGTCGAATTAATCATTTGTAATGGAGATGATAAAGCAAAGCAAGAATTTCCATTAACATACAAACTGGATAAAATTTTCTCACATTTATGTCAACATGAGAAAAAACAATATGGCGATATTATTATGTAACTTCGTAATATTTGAGGGGTAGTTTCATCTGGTTGGAATTTGACTTTCGAAAAATCCGTTTGCCAAAAATAAGCTTTTTACGTCAAGCAGTTTAAGCAGAATCGTGGTTAAGAAGTTACCCAACTTTTTGGAACACCCTGTATGATTTTTTAAAAAAATTTCAAAATATGTAAAAAAACAAAATAAATTATACGGGTCCAAGCGTTTTCCCGAAAGACTAACCGTTTTTTAAATAACACATATTGTAATATTTGATGGGCGTTTTCACCCTCTTGGAATTTGAGATTCGAGAAACCCCCCCTTATCGAACCTTTACACCCACAGTCAATCCGTTTGCCAAAAATCAGCTTTAAACGTCATGCAGTTTAAGCAGAATCGTGATTTCAATGGTCATATTTTATGAAACATCCTGTATATATTTTTAAAAAATCTTAAAATATGTAAAACAACAAAATCAAATATACGTGTTTAAGAGTTTTTCCGAAAAACTCACCGGTTTTTAAATAAAAAATATTCTAATATTTGAGGGGTGGTTTCACCCCCTTAGAATTCGAGTTTCGAAAAATCCCTTCTTATCGAACCTCTACACCCTAAAGTCAATCAGTTTTCCAAAAATCAGCTTTTTACGTCAAGCGCTTTAAGCAGGATCGTGATTAATCAATGACCAGATTTTTTGAAACACCCTGTATACATTTTTAAAAAATTGTAAAATATGTAAAAAACAAAATAAAATATACGTGTTTAAGCGTTTTTTCGGAAACTTTACCGTTTTTTAAATAAAAAATATTGTAATATTTGAGGGTTGGTTTCACCCTCTTGGAACTGGAATTTTGAAAAATCCCTTCTTATCGAACCTTTACACCCTAGAATCAACCTGTATGCTAAAATTGAGCTTCTTACGTTGAGTGGTTTGAGCAGGATCGTGATTAATCAGTATGTCAGTCACTTAAGGATTTTATATATTAGTATAGATTATTAATTTATTATAATGATCAAGATATGTATTTTTTTAGGTGTGGAATGTTTTTAGGGACACCTGTATATTTTGGAGGGTCCTGGGAAAGAATCCAAGCAAACTGAAAAGGTCTGGAAGCGACAAAGATCCAGAAAGTCCAGATTCAAATAAGCTTTTGTGCTCAGTTGCTGTATCTCCCAGTTCTTTAATTCCATACAGCTGCAGACCCAGCGGAATATTAGGTAATTAGCAGTTTTACTCTCTCAGAAATTTTATTCTCCCAATACAAAAAATGTTCATTTTTTAATTCTCCATCTAATAAAAAACAATATACTGGGTGTTTCCATTAAAAAAAACGAAGAAAAATTATTTTATATTTTAGAAAGTTTGTCGTAGAATTTTGAACACCCTGTATGATTTAAGATTAAGATATTTATAGCAAAGTAAGTATAGACCGTCTAAAGTAAATACCTGATATAGTTTTGATTTTGGGACAGTTCTTTTATTTGTAATAATTTTTTAAAGAAAAACTGAAAAATATACAGGGTTGTTCACCACATACGACACGGAGTATTGTAGCTAAACGATGAGATTTTTACAAATTGTAAGTTTGGGGTTCGTTGAAGGACTATTAGAGCTACAATTTAAAAATATTTTTACAAGATACAGAGTGTCCCAAATAAATAAAAAATATCAAAGTTGTTTTTTTTAAATGGAACACCCTGTATATTATTACATTTTTAGTTTCTACGATTAAAATAAAGGTACATTTGATTAAGGTTTATTACACTTAAACCTTACCGTTTTTGAAATATTTTCAATTTTGTGAAATTGCAGTAAAAATTTTAAAGCTTCATTTCTCCAAGGGTATCAATGTTTTTAATACTAAATATTTAATGAAGTTTATTTATTGATCAGTTATTGTGTTGCAATAATAAAAATAATACTACCTTATACAGATGAGTGTCTAAAAATTTATTTTAAATAATTATTAGCTTCAAACGGCAATAACTTCTTTAATTTAAATGGAATGCCCTGTATATTTTAGGAGAATCAGATGCACAATTAAATTGTCTATCAAATTGTATTATACCATTTTTTACCTATCCCTTCAAGTTTTCGTAGAAAATGCATTTTCTTATAATTTAGACCTCATTTATCAATATATCCATGGAATATTGACATTTTAGATTGTTTTTAAAGCAACAAATGTACAAAATGTACAGACTAGTAATATTATCGTTTTTAGCAAAACCATAATATTACTAGCCCATTTGTATGCAAAAAGAAAACTATTTAAATCTTTATAAAAGAGTATTCCATTAATTAAATATAACACCATTATTTCCGCCTATATACTAATTAATTACATACTTAATTGTGTTCGTTAATAAATTATTATAAATAAATGTGGATTTGAGTCAGAAATCAATATAATAATAAGTTATCAAATTAAAGTCTCTGTTGTTATAAATAAGCATTTATTAAAAAATGAAATATCATTTTTAAGGTGTTACTTTTTATCACACTGTCTAATGCCCATACAAAATTCAGTTTTTTAGTATTTGGAGCAATTATTAATCAACGCAAACAGTCAGTTAATGTAGTTTGAATACTGGAATCATATTAATTGATCCTCTTTAACAAATATTTAAACAGCTTTTTTTTATTTTTTAATGAAATAAACGAATTATATCGACAATATTAGTATCTGTACTCTTTAAAAATTTGGTACATCTTTAAAAATAATCTAAAATGTCAATAGTCCATGGGTATGTTGATAAATAAGTTCTAAATTACAAGAAAATGCATTTTCTACGGAAACTTAAAGAGATAGGTAAAAAATGGTATAATATAATTTGATAGACAATTAAATTGTGCATCTGATTCTCGTAAAATATACAGGGTGTTCCATTTAAATTAAACAAGTTATTGCCGTTTGAAGCTAATAATTATTTAAAATAAATTTTTAGACACTCTGTATAAGGTAGTATTATTTTTATTATTGCAACACAATAACTGATCAGTAAATAAACTTCAGTAAATATTTAGTATTAAAAACTTTGATACCCTTAGAAAAATGAAGCCTTAAAATTTTTACTGCAAATTCACAAAATTGAAAATATTTCAAAAACGGTAAGGTTTAAGTAAATTCTTCTCTTAAAGAAAATTCACAAGTTTTTTAATTCTATAGGAGCTACAGATGCCCGACGCACTCCGGCGTCGGACCCTGATCTCCGGACCCTGTATATTGTTACATTGAACACATTTATGTTACTTTTGAAAAGGAAACCAAATAATCAAGCTGTTTCCATTCTTTTTTCCTTTTTTCTATAGAATCAAATAAAAGAAAAACACGTATTTTTACATTTTCCTATTTCCTATTTTCTTCTTGCTGAATCAGCAAACCGCAGAAATTCGGCATTTTTTTCCTTGTTTTGTTAGAAGCTCACGACAAAAGCAGACCTGTTGATGTTTGTTTGTTCATGCTTGAAAATCGGGGAAAAGGGTCTCGAAAAACTGTTTTTTTCGTTCCTGGCGAAGAGTTCTACCGAAAAAAGTGAAAATTAAATTGTTCCTCTTGAAATACACGTTAAAAAAGGGATGAAAACATCTCGGGGGGGATTTTTCTGCCAGTTAAAAGGGATAAAAAATATTAAAAACGATATAAAATATGAATTTTCAGAGTATTAAAATTTTTTTATTTGAAATTGCTGTAGGTTGGACTAATAGTAATAATATGTAATAGTAATAATATTTAACAATAAATTAGGTAAAATATATAATTTATTAATTTTATTTTTATGTTAATTTTATTAACTGTGGATAAAATAAAATTGCGTTTATCTCATCAAGGGGGTCGAATTCGACTAAATATCAAGAGATAACTTTTAATTGTCGTTAAACGGCCTATATACACAATTTTGATATCAAAAGAAAAAAATCAGTGGCGTACATGTTTTTTTTTGAAAAATATTTCAGTGATAACCCATATTCTCGTCCCTGATGAGTTTGTCGACACTTTTTTAGCGTTAAAATATGTAGCATTTTATATTTTCACATAATATTGAAGATATAGGGGTTTTCTTAAAATCTCTCAATATAAATCAATAATTTCGTTATTGTTTCAGGTAGAAGATGGACAGAGGTAGAATTAGAAGAAGAGGACGAGCTTAAAAACAATTCCGCTACAACTAATGGTGATTCTGCACCGTTTAGAGAGAGAGCCTCTACCGATGGCCATCTTCACCACAAATCTTGGAGATGGAGGTAAAGTAAACTATAACTAAATAATAATAATATATTAAGCTCCTCAAAAAATAGTTAAAATAATTTAATCTTTTATACTCTGAAATTAGTGCTAGTATAATATATAACTTAAATAAATGTATTTTCTCGCGTCCTCCATTGCAGCTAGAATAGTAGGACGCGAGAATTGATTCCAGATATTATTCCATTATTAAAAATATCTATGATAGTGCAACCTTCCAAGTTAAATTAGACGATGACCTCAAAATAGGAAAAATACTATAGTCTATCCAACGAGAAGATCCTTGACAGTGATAGATGTGTCTGTCATTTTAATTTCAAAGTAGTTTATTTTATTTTACAAAGAAATAAGTTGGTACAACTGGAACGCATAGCAGGATATATTTAAAATTTGATTGACAAGATGACAAGTGATTACTTCAAAATATTGTGAAAAAAACTGTATAAAACTGAAAAATGTATTCGAGTTATTTTATTTAATAAAAACGGTATGTGTTAATACAAAACAAACAAGAACAAGACACTACATACCAAAAATATAAAAAGAACTATTATTTACTTTCAAGCTTTATGAAACTACCCGCATTTATGATTATATTTATCAATATAACTTATGTACAAATACAAATTTGTAATAATCCACAGGAATAAATAAAACAACATAGGTAAATAAAACAAACTATTTTATTAATAATAACACCTACCAAATTTTATACCTTAAAGGTTGATTAATTAACTTTAATCTTAATTTTTTTAAACCAGTACCTTTTGACATTATTTTTCTGCAGTACTAAAATCCATTATTTACCTATCGTGTGATATCGATATTTTACAGCTACTCCAGTTTTTAGTATGTGTTTAGTTTGATCCTTCTACCATATACAAGATGCACTTATCTACGACGAAATGGTATACAAACTTTATCGATAGCAACTTCATTGGTGTATAAGACTTTCTGCCCTGGCAGCGAGTATTAACCATAAACTGTGCTCTGGGTCTACAGTTAATTTTCACTCGATTTTTCCTCCACTTGACTTCAAAAGACACAAAACACACGTAATAATACGAATCAAAATGCATCATATTCCAAAACGCAGGGTATTTAACAAAAGTTGACACAAAATTATAACCTATAATTTGGCAAGACTTTGACAAGCGTCAAAAATGACAAAAATCTAAAGGCGAGTTCATACGCATCGGCGTTCGTTTGTCGTTCATCGTTCCGTCAAACCAATAAAATTGAAATATGATCTGTCATTTTTTAAATAAACCAATAAAACTGGTTAAAAACAACAAGAGATGACGCATGACGAATTTATATTTAAACCCATCCATAGATAACTTAAAAATTATTAGAAACTTTTTTTAGTAAAATAAATAGATTGGTATGGGACGTCATCTGCTTTTCTTCTGTCATCGTCTGTCGAAATCTTACCTGAGAAAAAAAAACAGAGTATACTCACAAGGGCGTGAGACAAGGAGATACCATCTCTCCCAAGTTATTTACACTGGCCCTGGAAAATGTCTTCAAGAAATTAGAATGGGAAAATAGAGGTCTAAACATCGATGGGGTACACCTTAGCCATCTGAGGTTCGCAGACGATATTGTCTTGCTGAGCATTGACATTCATGAACTAAACACCATGCTAAATGAGCTAAATGACCAATCCCAGAAAATTGGCGTTAAAATGAACTTGAAGAAGACCAAGATAATGAGCAACAATATTCATAACATTACCGTTGACAACGTTATTATTAAAAACGTAGACCATTATATATATTTAGGTCATAATATGAACCTGGGCAAGGAAAACCAAAATACGGAGATCAAACGCAGGATCCATTTGGCATGGGTAGCATTTGGAAATATGAGCGATATTTTCAAGGATAAAAAGGTGCCCATGAACCTAAAGAAAAAGGCTTACGACAGCTGCATTCTACCTGTGCTTACGTATGGCTTAGAGACTATGGCAATTACTCGAAAAACAGCAGAACAACTACGAGTAGCACAAAGAGCCATGGAAAGAATCATGTTGAGAGTCACCATTAGGGAAAAAATACGGAATACCCACATACGTCAAAAAACAAAATTAATAGATGTCGTTAAAAGAGTGGCAAGTCTGAAGTGGCAATGGATAGGACATATGGCAAGACAGGATCCAGACCGATGGCCCCAAAAAGTAACCCTATGGAGACCTAGGGGAACAACAAGAAGTGTGGGCCGACCAAAAAAGAGATGGGTCGATGACGTCAGGGCAGTGGCGGGAAGACAATGGATAAGATTGGCTAGAGATCGAGAAGCATGGAAAAACCTAGAAGAGGCCTATATCCAACACTGGATGGAACCAGGCTGAGCAAGAAGAGAAAGAAGAAATGTATTTTTGTGAAAGCGTAGTACCTAAAAGTGACACTACTTGTTTAGGCACTAGTGTCTAAAAGTAAAAAATGAAACGTTAGAAACAATGAAAATATTTATTTATTATAAAGCTGAAAGTTACAATTATTTAAATTATTGAAGTGAATACAAAAGAGGCATCCAACTTTTCGTCTCCAAGGGAAATGCAAGTTGTATGAGTCGGAATAAGTAAATTTCTTGTACAATGCTGGTAGCTTCTGCTTCTACGTGAAGGTTTGTGAATTTGGTAATATCTACGTTTCTGTTCAGGTAAATCATGGTGCGGAGCATCAAATATTTACTCCACAGAGTTGACGGCTTCAAGGTATCTAGTGGATAACTTCAGGAAATAGGCTAGCAATACCTTTTCTGTGAAATTCTCAACATGTTTTTCTTTGACCCAGGTTGTTGTGGGTAGTCTCGTATAAGTTTTTCGACTTCTCGGGCACTAAAGCTCCGCGCGCACTGAATAGGTATCGGCGAGAGCGAACGGCGCGAGCGGCACGACCGGTCGGAAAGTCGATTGTAGCTGCGCACTGGAGTCGCACGATCGACGGTCGCGAGTACGTCACCAGCATAAATTTGAGCATAGACGAGGAGAAGTTTATTCAAATTTAGTCAAATTCATTCGGCATTTCAAAACATTATAAAGTATTATTACTATTTATATTTTTATGCAACTTTTTATATTTTATGCTTTATGATGGAAATTGATATTATTTAGATCTTAACCAAATACACATTAATATATTTAGATCTTAACAAACCACATAAAATTACTGAAATAGAGTGGAAGATGGGGATAAAATATACTACATGACTCTTAGCTTGACCGATTTTAACAAATTTGGTATAACTCAAAAGGGTTTAATTTGTTCTTTAAAAACAAAGCTAGATATGAAAAATAGTCAAATAAAACTTCTATTTTTAGTTTTTTAATCTAAATAAGTGTCATTACAAACATTTATATATAGCTTTTTATTTTAAGATTTTAAAATCTTTGTTTTAAATCAGTAATAGAACGAAACTTAGGTTTACATTTTGTTTAAAGATTGACGTTTCGACCACTTTTAATTCGGTCTTTTTAAATCTATAATATACGTATAAATAATTTTCTACGTTTGTGGTAAGAAAAAATTATATATTAAACACATTGTTAGTGATAAAATTGTATTGTATATTATAGATTCTAAAGAAGACCGAATTAAAATTAGTCGAAACGTCAATCATTAACCAAAATGTAAACACAAGTTTCGTTTTATTCACTATTGACTTAAAACCAAGATTTTAAAAACTTAAAATATAATGAAAAAGTCAAAGAAAATTGAAAAAATAAAAAATATAAATAGTTTTTATAGTATACCGTATTATGGAAAAGGAACGGCATCAGCGATGACCATGAAATGAAGGTCGGTGCCATTTTATATGTAAATTTATATAGGAAATGTCATCAATCGTTATTTCCTATCCAACTGGACGCCGTTTTTTTCTATCATACATTAGATATACATATGTACAAATATTTTATTCAAACATAAATATTATTTTCTCTATTTGTACCTTTTACGGAGCGATCAACATAGTAACATAGGATGACTATTTATCAGCTGTTATTACTAACGTCAAAACAAACCAAAAATTAAATAAAATAAAATAATATAAATTAAAATAATATATGATAAGTTTTTTGACGATATTTAAATTCGATTTTCAAAATAATGTGATATAATCAAAACGAGATGAGAAATAAATGGGTTTAATCGGAAGGTTTTCTAAGTCAGTTATTGAATAAGTGTAGTAAACAATATAGGTTACGTGCTTGTAAGAATTTTTTTATAAAAAACCGCATATTAAGTATGCTATAGTCTCGTACACTTTCGATTAATAATTCATCGGACATGTTTAATGTAAAACCGCACCACTAAAAACAGTCGCTCGGCGTAGACTATTCGCCCCCTCCCATGCATTCTCTGATTTCGCCTGATGGCGCGAGTACCGCCGATAGCTCGAAGCGCACCGAGCGCACCGATCTAATGCGGTGCGCGGGCTTACATTTATTTCAACGTAAACTGAAAATTACGTGTCGCTCGCTCTCGCCGATACCTATTCAGTGCGCGCGGAGCTTACGTGGATAGCGCAGTTTCAGCAGCTTGTTGAACATCCAAAGACTCGTCATTATCACGCATTTTTTCACAAAACTTTGTAGGAAATACGGCAACGTTTGAACCTGACAGAACTTTGTCATTAAACGATGCATAAACAATGCCTTAGAAACCGATTACCAGAACATTTTAAAAAATGTTTAAAAATAAATAATAATAATAGCATGAAAATCCCAAATTATCCGCTTTCGCAATAAATCTTGTATGAAATTCGTTGCGAAAAGAGTGTGTAAAACACATTCATTTCCCAACTTGTTACATAAATAGTTTTTTTGTTGTAGACATAGACCTGGGACATCTGTCAACTCAAACGAAGCTGTCATGTTCAAGTCAGAAAGAAGGATGAGCATTTCTATGAGGGGAACCAACGCAAGTTATTAGTAACTTTAAGGGTAACTACGTATTAAAATAAAAAGGAATATATGTGAAACCTTATAATCTTAGTAAAGTAAATTTAATGTTTTAAATATATGTGTAAGGTAAATTACCTTAAATACAACGTCGTGTAATCGATTCACATCTACAGGGTTCGGCAAAAGTGCTTCGGGCATCTGTAGCTCATAGAATAAAGACCTAACCTAACTTCTATAGGGTGACTGAAGAAAGTGTGAGTGGATCGGGATGATTTTTTAAATGAAACACCCTGTATATTATTGAATTTTTGGCAGATTATTTTACATAATCCTAAGATATGAGTAAATACACACACACACCGGAAAAATCTAGGGATATCATTTTATTAAAGTTAAAAATAAATGTTTTGAATAAACAACCACATATTTGTAGGCCGATTCTTTCTACTTCGATTGAAACGAAGTAGTCACACGTTATTTCTAAATTTGGGATATTTGCAGAAGTGTTTGTGCATTTTTTGTCAAATGTATAAAAAGCACCTAGCATCAATTGTTCGAATTTAACCTGTACTGACTATGTTTTTATGATAACTGGCCAGAATTCATTCAAAAAACTCTGTTTAGTATTAAACTACATTATGGAGCGTAGACATCTTAACAGAGACGAAATGCTAAGGGCCATGGGTATGCTCGAAGCTGGAATGCGCCAAATCAACGTAGCTAGAGCATTAAATACAAGGCAAGGTGTAATATCGCGATTAAGTGCACGCTACCGTGAAAGTGGTGATGTTGCAGAAAGGCACACAGGGCGACATCGCATTACTACCCCTCAGGAAGATCATTTTTTACAATTAAATGATCGACGCCGACCGACTCTTACAGCACCAGAGCTTAGTTTAATTCTCCAGGAAACACATAATGTAACCGTTAGTCCTGACACTGTTCACAATAGATTAAGAGAGGTCAACTTAAGAAGTAGACGCCCCTGGAGAGCTCAACCCTTAACGAGAGGAAATCGAGAAGTACGATATTTGTGGGCTCAAGATCATGTTCAGTGGTCGAATGAACAATGGGCCAATGTTCTCTTCACGGATGAGTCACGCTTTGGAATTCATCCGGATTCGAAAAGACTTAGGGTATGGAGAGAACCGGGAAATCTTATTCGGTTAGATCATGTTCAGGAAGTGCACCCTTATCAAGGTGGAACAGTTATGGTCTTGGGAGGAGTCCAGTTAGGCCGAAAAACCGATCTCGTTTTTCTTGAAAGGTTTCTAACAGGAATCACATATCGTGATTTAATTCTTGAGCCTGTCCTGTTACCTATGACCTATGCTAATGATTTTGGGAGAAACTTCATTTTCATGCATGACAATGCACGGCCTCATACAGCCAGAGTGGTAAGTGAGTTTATCAATGCTCATCAATTAAACATCTTACCCTGGCCGGCACAATCTCCTGACCTCAACCTCATCGAGCACGTATGGGACGCGGTCCAAAGAAGAATTTTGAGAATGGGTATGCCTCGTGAAACTCGTAGGGATCTGGTTCGGGCCGTGAATGCAGCGTGGCAGGCTGTACCTCAAGAAGTGATCGACAACCTGATCAGGAGCATGGAGAGACGATGTAGGGCTGTAATGAATAGTAGAGGAGGCCATACCCTTTATTAAGTAAAAATGGGTTTATCTTTTCTTTTTTTAATTCACAGTTTAGAATAAAAAAAATGTGTGTATTTTTTTGAGTTCAATAAAAATCAAGGTAAATTTTGCATTTTTATTTCCAATACGTCCTGTAAACTATTTGTTTATTTTAATTTTATTATATCAGAAATGCAAATAATAAAATTACTGACGATGGCTGGATAAAATTGTAATATCCCTAGACTTTTCCGGTGTGTGTATATTTCGATAATTTTTGAGATATTAATAAATAAATAAAAAATAAATATTTTTCAATCTTCACTAAAAAAAATATTTCAAATACAACGAACTGGCCTGGAGACAAAATCATATTAGGTTATTTATTTTAGATGGTCTATACTTACTTTGATGTAAATATCGTAATCTTAAATCATACAGGGTGTTCAAAATTCTACGTCAAACTTTCTAAAATATAAATTAATTTTTCTTTGTTGTTTTTTTTAATGGAACACTCAGTATATTATTTTTTTTATGAGATGGAAAGTAAAGAAATGAATATTTTTTATAGTTCATATGGCTCTTTAAACGATAAAATTCAAGAGAAGAATCATTGGGTGGCTTTGAAAAAAAATTACTGTGGAAAATGCCATATGAAATATAAAAAAACCGCGAATATCTGCGAAACCTTTAAACATTTTGAAATACTTACAATACAAAAAATGTTAATTTTTTGATTATCCATCTTTCGAAAAAATACTATACAGTTTGTTTCATTTTTAAAAAAAAACGAAGAAAAATTATTTAATATTTTAGATAGTTTGGCGTAGAATTTTGAACATACTGTATGAGTTACGATTACCGTATTTAAAGCAAAGTAAGTACAGACGATCTTAAGTAAATACCTAATATAGTTTTGATTTCAGGACAGTTCTAGTATTTTTAATAATTTTTTTAAGAATAGTTGAAAAATATATATTTTTAATTTATTTATTAATATCTCTGAAATTATCGAAATATATTTACTCATATATGTATTATGTAAAATGATCTAAAAGGAAGCCAAAAATTCAATAATAGACAGGGTGTTTGTTCCATTTTGAGCCACCCTAGAGAAGTTAAAATATTTTCCTCAGATACATTCTAGTACATATACTTTAGAACTTTTTTATCCTATAGGAGCTACAGATGCCCAATGCACTATTGCCGGACCCTGTATAACAGATGAACTAACCGTATAATATTATTTATTTTTATTTCTGTTTTATATCCTTGGTTCCTTGGTTAAATTTACAGAGGATCAAAGCATTTTGTTCTTAAAAATTGACAGGAATATCCAAAATCAGTTAGTGTGTGTGTGTTAAGTTAGTACCTTTGAATTTAGGCCAACAAACATGGGTTCAAAGAGAAGATACAAATATAAAAGGACTATAAAGGTCACTAAGGGCCGCTTTTCTATTTGTTTAGGCCCTTATTGACCTTCAAACTTTCGCCCTTACGCGACAAAAACCCACTTTGGTATTCAGTGTTTGCCCGTGTTCCAAATATAGATTAAAATAAAATCTTAAAAGACGCTTGTTGTCTGAATAATGAGTCTTGAATATTCATGAAAGTGAAATTTATTGTCATTGAAATTATTCTATTATTAGGTTAAGTAAAAATTGTGGGATCGTGGACAAATATTAAACAAATTATCGTAAATAAACAAAAAGTTTTTATAAATTTATCTAGTACAGTTCGTCAGCTGGATCTGTGTCTATGAAAGGAATGCGGACAAAAAACATTTAAATAAACAGCAATATATTTTATACGTCGACTTGACGAGTACGTCACCGCAAATCGCTCCGCCCACTCATTTTATTGGCCGCTTGCAAATTTGTCGAACTTTTATTGATGGGACGCGTCGTCTAATTTTTTACGAAAAACATCGAGAGAATATCGTTTCCCCTCTCACGGATACCCCGTAGCTACAGAACGAGCAGACGTACTGTCAGTGCCTTCTATTAAAAGATCAGCCTACGGGCGAGATTTATGACGTCACGCTAGTTAGATATAACGGATTAATAAATATGTTGTAGAATACATGGAAAACATAATTATTCCTCAGATTTTTGGTTTGTATTTTAAAAATGATATAGTTTACATGAAATATACATAATATACAGTTAATAACTACAACATATATACCTATTTATAGTAATAAATACTTTGGCAAATAAACTATGAACCATACAAATGCAGCAAATGTTTTACAATGTACAAATAATGTATAGGTACATAAGATAATGGGTAAAATGTAAATATATTTTAAATTTTGGAGTTTGAAAATCGATCTAATTTAACAAAAAACATTCAATATCTACTAATAGTGATGTATTATTATTTGCATTCACAAAATTTATATGTATATTTTGCAAGTATCAATGTTCGAAAAATTATATTTACAAATAATACAATATTATCTAAAAAAGGCGTCAGCGATGGCTATGAAATGAAGATCGCAGGCATTTTATATGTAAAATTATTCTAAAATTTTTGATTTTCTTGGGAGGTTCGGGAACGCTGATTTAAGTTTTCATTTGGGTTTTCATTATTTTTATTTGGTTTAAAAAAACGTTTCGGCTAACTATAGCCTTCATCAGTGTTGTGTCATATGAGAAAAATAGTGTCGAATATAATCCAAAAAATTACATATACAATATAATTCATACCTCATAATATTTACTGCAATTAATAAACTAATATAAACTTATCAAAAGATGACCACATATTTTTTAAAATTATTATTCTTAACACTAAAATTATCTACATTGACTATGGAGTACGCAGTACGCAGTAAACATTATGTGCGTGGTATGAATATTTTATATGTAATTTTTTGGATTATATTCGACACTATTTTTTTCATATGACACAACACTGATGAAGACTATAATGTTAGCCGAAACGTTTTTTTTTTAAACCAAATAAAAATAATGAAAAACCAAATGAAAACTTAATCAGCGTTTTTCCCGAACCTAAATCCCAAGAAAATCAAAAAATTTAGAATATTTAGAAACAAGGTTCAAGAATATCAAATTTACCAAGATTGTAAAATTCTAGTTAATTATTTTATGTGTACAGTTATTTAGGGAATGTCATCGATGTTCATTTCCAAGCCAACTAGACGCCGATTTTTTTCGATGATACGGTATAATTCTTACGTAAAATGTAAATAACATTAGACCAATTAAAACAAAGAAATATGAATTTCTTAGTATTTTTAGTAACACCTTTATTCTTAAAACTTAATTTTGTATTATGCAAATATACCAATTTTATTGTTATTTTATTCATATTGTATTCAGCCATCACTTAAATATTTGATATTAATTTGGTATTATAAATAATCAACACTATTCATTAAAAATTACTGAACAAATGTTGTGCTTGACATACATTATATATTATCAAACAAAAACACATTCTTCTTTTAAACTGTGTCAGACTTGTCTTTACAAAAATCTTTTTTAAAATTTGAACTCAAAATAATAATCTTTTTCATGATCTTTAATACACATATTCTTTATTTTTCCCTAGATCATAATACTAACTTACGTGTTTGAATCAATCGAAGCTGAACCAACAACACTTGGAGTGGAGATTCCACA